ATCTTGTGTGCAGTGCGTCACCCGAGCCCTCCACGGACAAGGTTCATCTTTGTTGGACGTGCACACCACCTTGAATGATTTCTTATTCGAATAGGTTGTCTTAACCTCCCTCAACTTGCTAACGTTCCAACTCATGATACCAATCTGTGCTTCTCCCATGGACCGGAAAACAGTACCCAAACGGATAGTCTCGACATTCCCATTCCAGGTTGGCAAGGCATACTCATCCCGGTCTACACACGCCGGGTCCCACTCACCCTTCTCGCGATACACGTGCTTACCGCTACTAGGAAATGAATGTTCTTCAATAAATTCTGGTTCACTCTCCTCGTTTATTGATCTATCCGTTTCCGTTTCCGAGGTACCATCTGTGAAATCGTCTTCACCGCGAATGAAATCATGATCACTTTCTCCTCATTATCGCATTCTCTAACTGTTGAGCTTGTCCCTTCGCCAAAATTACGAACATGCGAAGTGGACGTACCCTCAGCATCAGCCACTCCACCGTAAAAAGGGGCAACATCCTCAAACTGCGTAACCTCTGTAGGTGCCTGCGTAAACTGCTTCAACTCCAAATGCAAATACACATAGGAGAAAGGAGGAAAATTATATATCCAATCAACAACACTATTAGTATTCAGGTTTCCAATATTCCACAAACCATCGCGTTCGTCACTCAGTAATCTAATCTTCTCAATTATCCAACCATCTCGATGAAACCCAAAATTTTCATAAAGAATATCTACCAATTCTTTAAATGATAGCTTCTCCCCAATACTAAATGAACCATCCGGAGAGTTTTTAAAATCTGAAAAATCATATAACAACTCCTTCGGAACATTCCAATACACATTAACAAAGTATGGTCCGGTAGACGCCATTTATACCTGTTGCAAAAAACAATTGTTCCCAATTACAACAACACATACTTTCTAACCCAACACCCAAAAAATTCAATTATTCATTTATCATTCCCACAACAAAAGAATAAAATTCATCAATAACATATAATACACTTTCAATTCTTCCCAATTACAACAACACATAATTTCCCAAAAAATTCAACTATTCTTTTACTCAAACCAAGATAAATATTTTCAACTAATACTACAATAACAAATAAAAAAACACCAATTATTTTATAAAATAACTCTCCAAAACCCTAATTCTCAAAATCCAACTATACAATATAAATCATCCAATTTTCGCAAAAATTCTCAACATACACCGAAACCCATCATCCAAGAACAAAGTATAATCATTTAACACAACTATTAAATCAACAATAAATCTTTTCTAAACTATACTCATCAAAACCAACAAATATTTCTTACACATTCATAAACAACAAAAAAGATGTAATTACATTACATTAAAATAACAACTAACCTCTTCTCCGAATCGATTGATTTTTAAAAGTTTTTTTTTTATTTTTTTTTTATTTTGAGGTGAAGAAAATGGAAGGAAGTGAATTTTTTTTTTTTGTTCTCACAGGTGCAGTTTTGATCTCGCAGAGTGGTGGAGAAGAAGATTTTTTCGTACTTATATTTTGTTAAAAACCGTATTTTGCAAATACGTTTTTAATTTTTTATTCTATTAAACAACGTATTTCCGTTATACGTTTTATTTTAATTCAATTTTTTCTTAAAAATTAATTAATATTAAAAACCGTATTAATGAAATACGGTTTACATTTCAAATCAAAATTAGGGTTTTCATAAAACGTATTTCGTAAATACGGTTTAAAATTCAAATTGGATTTACATTTATACATTTTTTTGGGCAATATGTTTTTCAAATAATTAAACAAATACAATTAAAAACCGTATTCACGGAATACATTTTTTACTAAAAAATTTAATTAAGAAACCGTATTTTGTGAATACGTGCTTTTGATTTCGGTCTACTCCTTTTTTTTCTTTTTTTTTTTTGTCCACTTATTTTTCAATTTTTTTTTTTTAAATAAATTACCCCAAGAATGAGTATATACAACTTGATTTATCACTCAATTTGTAGAGGATGACAAATGAATGATTAAATATTATTCATAAAAGAATTGATTCGGGCAATTTTTTAGCTAATGCAACCCAATCATAAAGAATTCATTCGACAATTTTTTACCTAATGCTCCTCGATTCTCTCCTGTCCCAGGTGAAGAAGTGGGTTTCTCTATTGGATTACCTCCGATTTAAATATGGTATTTTGTTTATATTAAATTAGTTAATTTGTGATATTTGGCAATGGTATATATATATATATATATTGTTTTTAATACTGAGTTGGTTGTATGACAATAATATATTTTTACATAACGCAAATAAAACAGATCTGCACTAATTTCGACCCGTTTTTACTTAGCTAAAAAGTAACGCTGAGATTTTTTGGTGTATATGGTAATAAAATAAATTGTTTAACTAATTCTTAGCAATACGTGCAATAAAACTACTACTATGTTTGTGTTATATGTAATTCATCTTATCAATGTAAAACATATTATTAAAATGATTCATACTATGAAGGTCTCTGAATTAATTGCAAATTGATCTATGTCAATTAAACAAAAGCCGACCAGACGTGTGATTTGATCGCAATTTAGGTACGATTTTTAGTAAAATTCTTAGTAAATAAAATATATATAAATGCGTGATTTTGATTATTTATGTCAACAAATAATTTTGAAATTTTATCAACCATATCAAGTCGGATTTTTAAAAAAAATGTGTAATTGTAGTTATATATGTTAACAAAGAATTAGTTAAAGAATCTGAATAAGATATACTAATAAATATATAAATATCCGATGATTCCATCAATTTTTTCTAAATTATATACTTCTTTTACTTAATTAATCAATATATAAAATATGNTAAAAAAATATCCACTTTTTCTTAAATTGTATCTGGTTGTTACTTAATTAATCATTTAACTAATATTTGACTTCTTCTTAATTTATATGGGCTATTCATTAAGTATTCACTTAACTAATATTCAAAATATTTATTTACTAAATTCCTAAAAAATATTATATATTTTCTAAATTATATCAAGTTGTTGCTTAATTAATTATTTAACTAAAATTTAAAATAACAGGATTTATTAAAATGGTCCATTTTATACTTATTTAAACTCGCCATCACATATCTCAAGTCCAATAAAATTGTCATGAAAATAACTATTTATAGCAGCATATTGTACCAAATACAATTCAAATTTTATCTAGTAAATAGGATTAACTAAAATCGACTTGATTTATACTATAAAATCGCTAACTTTATACTAAAATTGGATTTATTAATAAATTACATTTCTACTAAAAATAAAAATGTCCATCACATCATTATACATAATTTTATAATTAAAAATTAAGATAATATTATCCGTATATAAGGCTGGTATTTTTTGATCAAAAACCGAAAACCGAACCGATGTGAAAATAAACCGAACCGAACCGAATCATGTGTATCTGTAACCGATTTCGGTTACCGAAATGTTGTCGGTACGGTATCGGTTCCGACCCCATAAGGGTTCGGTTTTACCGAACCGAACCGATAACAATATATATATAAAAAAAAGAAAAAATACTACTTTTGAGTTTTGAATAGATATATTAATATTAGTTAAATAAAATAATTTGGTCTTAAATTATAATTAATCTAATAAAAAAGGACGGATAATATTAAGTTATTAACTAGGGCTGGGCTTCAAATTTCAAGCGCCTCCTTCAGAATCAGAAATTCAGCATCGACACATTGTTCACTTCAGGAATTCATATCGCCTCCTTCACCTGACCAGTTCTGCACCTTCACGGCTTCACCGACTCACCTTCGCCTCACCTTCACCTGGGAGTTCAATCCGTCAATCGTTCATTAGTCGTTCATCTCACCTTCACTTCAGAATTCAGATCGCCTCTTTCACCGACACACCTTCACGGCTTCAGCGACTCACCTTCGCGGCTTCAGCCGTGCCCCAGGTAATTATCTTCAAACCCGATAATTATCTTCAATTTTGTTTTCAAAGAAAACACAAAAATCATAACTGGGATGTGGGTAGGGTGTCCCGTTGAGTTGATTCGACCAGACAGAAGCATAATCCTAGACCCTAGTCTTCCTCCATCCATGGATTGTTCATTCATGAGCCTTCCTTAGTTGTTCACAGCTCACTGAAAATTCATACCCTTCTTTTCTTTAGATATAAGGGCTTGGAAAACGGGTTCCAACTGTGATGCGTGAATGAAATGGATTATCATTATTCGTATTAGTGGCTTTTTTTCATACCCTTCCTTAGTTTTTTTTTTCTTCTTTCCATCTGCCTAATTTCGGTTTTTGTTTCGGTTCTTATCGGTTTAAATCGAAACCGAACCGTCTTATCGGTAACCGATTTTCGGTTACCCACCTCTTATCGGTTCGGTTTCGGTTTCAATATTAGTGAAACCGAAACATATCGGTTCGATTTCGGTTTTATGACCGAACCGATACCACCCCTAATTTGACGACTTCTTAATTTATATGGGCTATTCATTAAGTATTCACTTAACTAATATTCAAAATATTTATTTACTAAATTCCTAAAAAATATTATATCTTTTCTAAATTATATCAAGTTGTTGCTTAATTAATTATTTAACTAAAATTTAAAATAACAGGATTTATTAAAATGGTCCATTTTATACTTATTTAAACTCGCCATCACATATCTCAAGTCCAATAAAATTGTCATCAAAATAACTATTTATAGCAGCATATTATACCAAATACAATTCAAATTTTATCTAGTAAATAGGATTAACTAAAATCGACTTGATTTATACTATAAAATCGCTAACTTTATACTAAAATTAGATTTATTAATAAATTACATTTCTACTACAAATAAAAATGTCCATCACATCATTATACATAATTTTATAATTAAAAAATAAGATAATATTACTATCCGTATATGTGCAAATATTTTGTGTATTTATTTTACTTTTTGCTAATAAATTTTTACTTTATTAATTGCAGAACCAAAATCACCCAACTCGATCGTTTCCTCATAACTCTGGCGAGAAGCTGACTCGAGGGAGAAGAGAGAAACTACGAGTAGAACCAAAATCATGTTCCTCTATTTTTTTTGTAGTTACTGAAAATTTTGAGTAGAACGCTAACTATGTTTTCTTTTCAGGTCTATTTAGAAGTTGCAAGATATGTCCGCCGAAGAAGAGGAAAACGCCGCTGAGCTCAAAATCCCTGATGGTATGTATGCGTGCGTGTGTGTTTATGTGTACATCTGACTTTCGATATGCAGACACTGGTATTCGTGCTGATTTTTGATTGGTTTGAAAAGGGTTTTCTTTTTTCCTTTTGTTAGAATTTGTATGCGACCGAGTGTTTCTGAGTTTATTGACACACAGGTCTGAATTGGGATAATTGAATGAATTTTGGTTTAAGCAGTCATGTTTTTCACTCTTTTCATTATTAATATGTTTCTAAATGCCAATTTTGTCAATATTATATCAGATAAGGAGAAATTTATCTCAATTTTGGGGGTTTTATGTGTAGTATCTATCTGTGTTAAAGTTATTTAAAGCTCTCTTAGTTTAGCATCCCCATACTTGTACATGTAGTTCTTGTTCACTGATGCCTTTTTTCTCTGTATGTAGCTATGTCACAACCAAAATCTTGCCCACTAAAATTTACCTTTATTAGGGCTACTCATGGACATATTGTATGTATTGTTCTTGGTGAATATTGAATCATTCATGTGTTTGTTGAATTATTGCATTATCCTATGGCGAAAAAAATAGAGGAAAAAACTGCATTCATTTCCAGCGTTGATCTTCAACTCGTTTCATATTTCCTTGGGTTTTGTTTGTCATCCTAATTTTGGTTTTTGATATAAGTTGTGTTGTGAGCTTAGGTGTGTTCACCATTTTTTTTTCCAGAATTTCTCAAAGCCAAGTGTCTAATGAATTCGGAAGTTGCCCTAATTCTTGAGCACAAGTACGATCAGCTTCAGCATACGATGGATGATCCGATGAATCAAATGTCACAGTATGTAAACTTTCATGGTTCCTTTCCCATTCATGTGACATATAATGTCTATTAATTTGTGTTCCTGACTATCCTAGACTTGTAGAGGATTTTGTTTTTATCTTGCTCATGAAAGTCCAAGAACTAATTACATGGAGAAGGAGATGAAAATGTTTCATCCATTCTGGCAAGTTTTGATTTTGATTATATTTCCTGATTTTTTTTTATTTTTTTTGTCTTTTATGTTTTGCCAGGGTTTTTGAGAAGTCTCTCCAATATGTGAAGCGATTCAGCCGATATAAGAATAATGACGCTGTCAGACAAGTTCGAGAGTATCCTTCTCTTTGTTATGCAAAAATGGGTGTAATTTGTATCGAGTGTAATATATAACATATATAATCAACATTACTCAACAATATAATTTCTTTGAGACTGTTGATCATAGAGGAATTGTTATTTTCTTCTTGAGCCTATATAGCAGAACGCAAGACAGTTTTCCATGAATATTTTATCGCTAAGGAACCCAAATAGAAAATGGCAGATGAATAAACTAATAAATAAAATCTTGACCAGCTGAAAATGAAAACTGGTGCCTTTCCTACTGTCATACTATCAATTGGCTGTTGTTTATTGCATAAGATGGTGCAAACCTTGACTCGAGTTTAGAATTCTGAGTAGATATCAGCTGGCTGAATTTGAGGTAATTTTTTGTAGCACTAATTTTGTATATTGATGAAATTTCTGGAAGTATCCTCTCTTATCTTTACAAAAATTGCACAATTTGCAGCTCTGTGTGCTCGGGAACCTTTGTCCAGAAACTGTTGAGGAAGCCATAGCCATGGTCCCGTCAATCAAGGTACTTTTTTCTCTTGAATAACATGTTAGGGATAAAGAAAATCAATCTTCACTGATAAAATAGGCAGGATGTAATTAATTAGTTATAGTAAAAATATATGTATACCCAGTATTTGATGAAACTGAGAATGTACTAAATGAATACCCTCCAGATTTGGCACCAATTATAAAAAGAAAAAAGAAAACACAACCAAATGTCACACTTACAGAAGTAGCCCTGAAATTTGTTGTCTTACAGTTGCCCCCTATGTAAGAATCAAAACTCCCTTTCACATATGACGTCATTCTTCATATACCTTAGCTTTAATGATATTTCAGTTAAAACCTTAGTTTTTACACTGAATAAAACCTCAGGTACGTTTGTGAGTTTGAACGGTACCTTGGTTCCCCCTTAACTAGATCAAACCTCAATCTATACTTTTTGTAGTTGTTCTGATAATTCTAGTCAGTGCCGCTAGTAATATATGCTTTGGTTCCGAAAATAACTCTTAAGGAAAAGGATTAAGTTTTACCTTTGCATATATTTTTGGTTCGTTGTTGTAATATTATTGCTTAATATGGAGGTGGTGTTTCTTATGCCATTTTTTTTCTTACATTTTTCTATCAATCAAGACCGACTATCCATGACTTGATTTTGACATTTGTTTATGCTAAGCGGCAGAAAAAGGAACTTCTGTCAACCAGGGCAATAACTTTGTGTTGTATTAGACAAACATAATAGGTTAACATGCACATTGATGACATAATGCATTAACTATTTTTTCAATGTCAAAGTAGCATTTTCAAACTTTGTCATTTAAGAAAGTAATCCACCTTAATTAAAAAGAAGGAAGTCTTATTAGTTTTTAGAATAACTTATAAACTTAAAAGAACGTCCGGAAAGGAATAAAACTAAACAATGATCTGAATTGATTAAGTTTATAAAAGCTTTTACAAACAACTGAATGGATGAAGCACTTATATTAATAATTTGAAAATTTTCACAAATGATGTAATTTCTGTTCTGTTTAGTGTCCTTAGAGAATACTCTCATTTCAATTTTTGTTGTTTGGTCTTCTAGGAGGTGAGGTGTTAAGAGATTTCGAGCTATGGTATTAAGTAGAATGAGATTTTTACCTTCTTTCTTGCCATTTCAGTAGTGAGTGGTATTATCTAAAAAGTAAATAATATCAAATACTGACATTGTTTTGGTTAAGATACATTAAAATTGAAAAAAAAAAGAAGAAAATCCTGAAAGACATCTTTCTAATTCCTTGATCAGTTTGTACCGTTTTTATGACATTGTTTGAGGAACAATATACAATACATACCAAACAACAAATGGCTCTGCCCCTACTTCAAAGATCTTTTACTTCATTTGGATGTGTCTGTTTGTTTAATTGGATTATTTTTTACTTTTACAGACTAGAGGACGGGCACATGATGATGAGGCGATTGAGAAAATGTTGCATGACCTTGCTCTCATCAAGAAGTTTGAGTAATCGTAATCTGCTGCTATCTACGATGTTGAATTTACCCATGCCATAATTTTTATGCTTTTATGTTTGGTTATGTTTTGGTATTGTATTATAGGATGAAGCACAATGGTCAACTAGATTAAAGTTTCCAAACATGATCTACTGCACAAGACTACTGCTCAGTACATTGAACCTTAGTTTGACCCATGCAACTATATAACATGCTTATTACTTTGAATTCTCTGTTGGTCCTAAACTCTATTTGTGGTACATCTTCCTTAAAACAATAAGGTTAATAGAATATTTTTTTTTTTTTTCAAAAACAATAAGTACAGGACTGACTTGGAAGAGGTGAAATACCTAGTGTTATAATAATGAGAAAATTATACATTTCACCTACAAATTCCTATTTATGTATCAAATTTTATTTAAAACTTCGAAAAAGTGTGCTAAACATGTAAAAGGACATGAATATATACTGTCAAATATATTATGGTGAGAGGAAAAGATTGGAATATACTTAAATTTGAGTGGTTCGTTTTGACTGTTGTGGAAACTAGCAACACACCACGTGCATGAATATATACTGTCAAATCCCTACGATTCTCCCAAGTTGCGTCTCGTCATCTCGACTTGTCAAAAACATCTCACGTCCTATTTGAGTTTGAACTGTTAATGGTACAACAATTTTGTTCGTGAAGCTTATCTTCGCATCACCATCTGGTTTATATGTAATAATTATGCGGGTATGTCTGCTTCCAGTTATGGCCGATGATAGTCTGACACCCTTTTCATTTATAATCAATGAATTATATACTTTTTTGTAAGAAAAAATAGTTTTTAGTGAATTATTTTTCATAAATGAAATATTTAAGAAAATTTCTAAACCCATTTTAGGGTGAATAAATAGTTAAATATTAATTTTGATTAAAAATGAGCTGAAATGTAGAAATGATTGAGTTTAAGTAGCTCAAAAGATTATTACTTGTCAACTTTGTTTGACATTCGTATCTTGAAGAATATAATTATTACTTGTCAACTTTGTTTGACATTCGTTTTTTTCTATGTCATTTTTATGATATTCTGAAACATTTTATCTACAATATTTCAAGACTGCAGTCTCTAAACATCTAGTATTAGGTGGCGAACTAGTTAAAGATATAATCCAATTTTTCGAAAACAATTACTCCTCATTTCATTTAATTTTTTCTTCAATCAAACTAACACAATTAAAAAGATAAAAAAAATATTACTATTATATATTACCAAAAAATAATTATTATTAACTTAAACTCATGTTCGTAACTACCAACAACTATCAATTAATCCATATATATGAAAGTGAAGAAGCTTGGAGGAAAAAAAACCTTTTCCCCAAAACTACATTAATTAATTAGAAATATATTTTGCTTATTATGTAAGATTTATCATTAAAGTGATAATTACAATTGCTTATTATAAATAACTTTATATAAAATTATGCATTGAGAACTTGCACTCTAATTCTCATGGTCAAGATTTTAAAATTAATTTGTTAATTCTAATGTAGATAATTTAAAAAATAAATATAATTATTTGTTCTAAATACTTATTTTACTAATGATTATTTAGTTTGAATTTTCATTCTATGTTTCTATTTTTTTTAGGGAATAATTATTTTAACAAGTATTTTTACCATATTCAAATCTTCCGTATTTACTCATTTTCTAAGTCGAAATGTTGAAGTTTTCATAATCTATAGTGTTTTTAGTAATTGTTTTCAATCATAAATATATCATTACTAATAAAATTTATTTATCAAAATTTAAAATTTTTCCTCTTTTGCGTAAATCTTCAAAATTTATTCAAATAATGTTCAAAAACTATTTGCCATATTAGCGATTTTAATATTTTTTTGTTACCAATAAAAAATGATAAAAATAAAAAAGTAATTTAATTATTGTGTTATTATTAGATCACTTCAAATCTTCCGTATTTACTCATTTGATAGGCCAAAAATATTGATGTTTCATAATCTACTGATATTAGTGTTTTTAGTAATTTTTTTTGTCAAATAAAAATATATCCTAAATTAAATTTTCTTTACAATATAATATAAAACAATTATTATGTTTCATGAAATGCTAAAATTTGAAAATAGTGTAAGTTTTTTTAGGCTTTAACTAATTTGATATATTTTTAAATATTAAAAAGTAATGCTTTTTAAAAGTTTAAAAATATTTAGATTTTCATCACATTTTTCATGCAAACTATATATGTTAATGAGGAGAAACCCCATAGATGTATATCTATACACAAGTATTATTAAAGAAAAAAAAAAAAATTCTGTTAATCAACTGAATAACATTTTTTTCTTTTGTATTACTAAATAAATAAATTTTCTGATCATATATATATATTTTTTTCTTTTATATATATATATAACTGAATACTTGTTGGTCATTTTATTAATTTTTTACATATAAAATAATAAATTAATTATTTTTATATAATTTGTTTATTTAGCACTCATTGTGAGCAAATAAAGCTAAAAGAATATTTTATTATATATATATATATGTATATTTTTTTAAATAATTTATTTGTATATTTTATATACACATTTGTTAAGTGAGTTTCTCATACCAATATTGAAACGTGGTCCAAATATTTCATGTCAATATTTTTATTGAATGAAAGCTCTTATTTACTCCATTAAATCTCTTAGAAATGAAAATAAAAAATCTAAAATATCACTTATGCCTTTAGCTGAATGCAAATTGAAATTTCTTAGAAAAATAGATTAAAATATTAACTAGAAAGAAAATATTCATATAAAGATGTTACATATAATAGTAGTGATATGTACAAAACTGATTTTTAAATACAACTTAACAATTTTTCTATAAATTATTTTATTATGTTGTGGGTCAATATAATATATTTTTTTAATATGTAACTTACTGATAACTGAAGGTTTCGATCATAACAAGTACCAATACTTTTAAAAATAATCAATAAAAGANATATATATATATATATATATATATATATATATATAGGGGGCAGATCAAATGCGGCCAGCTCTTAAAATGCGCACAGCTCTTAGCAACTACAGACAACTAACCTAGCAACTACAGAGAACTAACGTAACAATTACTAACTTAAAATTTGCAGAGAACTAACCTAGCAACTTGTTTATTGTGTTTTTGTGTTTCTTTTTATGTGTTTCTTGCGCATAGTTGAGTCGGTTTTAGGATTGTTTTAGCGCTGACCGGTCTATTTTATTGTTTTTCGTGTATTTTTGTGTTTTTCTTTTATTTTGTGTCCTTGGCGTATTTTTCCGTGCTTGTTGGTGTTATTTTCAGGTTTATTTCGAGGAGGACGAGAAGAATCGAATCGAATCCCGAGAGGCGAGAATTTCCAAATATTCCGAGTCAGTTTCGAGAAGTCCCGAACCATTGAGCTAGTCTATTCCGAAGATTTCGAGTTAAAATCGATCAAAAGTCTCCAAAGATACTACACTCGCACCCCCGCGCCACTGCACTCGCGCTCTCGTGTCGTCTACGCGCCTTCACGCAGTCCGCGCCCGCGAACCTCACCGCGACATCGAGAGTAGCCCATTTCTCGTGCCTTCACCCGTGTCCGCGCGCTCGAAACCGCTCGCGACGTCGAGAGTACCTTCTCGCCAAGCCGTCCGCGCACGCGAGCCCCGCCGCCAGCTCGAGAGTATGGATTTTGCCCTGCGCCACCTCGTGCCATGACCCGCGCATCCTTCCGTCCGCGCGCGCGAGTTAGGCCGCGACATCGAGAGTACTGCTCTACTTTCCATCCGCGCGCGCGAGCTGATCCTCGAGATCGAGAGTGCCGTCTTCTCTCGCGCCGATCCCGTGCGTCCCTCGAGCCAGACCCTGCCATCTCACGTCCGCGACCCGCGGAACTCGCCGCGAGCTCGAGAGTGTGTCATTTAATCTGCGTGTTTCTACTGTGTGTTTTTGGAGCTGGACTATATATATGTTTTGGCCCTTTGTAATTGAACATCTAGATTTCATTTGCTACTTTACTCTTTTTGGTAATGTTTTTGTTTTTAGATTTCCCTTTAGATTCTCTCTAGCTTAGTATTTTCCGGCGAACTATTTCCGGCGACTCTCGTTTTTATGCAAGTTTATATCTTTTTACTCCGATTTCGACCAAGCATGCACTAGGAATGTGAGTACTTACTTTTTAAGACTTATACTTTCGTATTGTGCACCTAATTTGCTATCTAGTGAGTAGAAGTGATTAGGGCTTGCTCGTTTATTGGATATGTTTGCTCGTTTAGTTATTTTCCGTGTTTCGTGGTTTTTGAACTCGTCTATTGTGTTTGAGTTGGTTGAAGTGTGAAGTTCTACTTGAAACATCGTGACTTTGATATTGAGCTCGGTTATTTCGTCGTAGAATTTTCGTCTTTAACTATCAAGTGTGATAGATGGAGCTCGTTCCTCTTGTTTTCGCTCGTTTTTCTTGATTTTTGGTTCTCCGGTTTAGTAAGCTAGGGTTTCTAGTATAATTGTTCGTTTAATTGCTAGTTGCTTACCTTCTTAGTTAATCTAGTGCTTAATCAATCTCCAACAAATGAATAGAATGTTTAGGATTTATTTTTCTTGTTTTGTGTTTTTGGACAATTGAATAGCAACCAAAGCTCCGAATAGCTTTCCTTAGAGAACGACCCGAGTCGGGTAACTCGGTTACCACATACCCACAATTCTCTACTAAACACAACTACAGAGAACTAACCTAGCAACTACAGAGAATTAACCTAGCAACTACAGACAACTAACCTAGAAACTACAGAGAACTAACCTAGCAACTAAATAGAACTAACCTAGCAACTACAGAGAACTAACCTAGCAACTAGAGAGAACTAACCTAGCAACTACAGAGAATTAACCTAGCTACAGACAACTAACTTAGCAATTACATAGAACTAACCTAACAACTACAGAGAACTAACCTAGTTGGAAGGTTAGTTGTCAACGGTCAACGCCGAAAGTCAACGGTCAACGCCGGAGTCAACGAGTCAAAATAATATTTAAATAATTAAAATAATAAAAAGAAAAGAGTAAATCTTGGCCACACATGATGTACCAAATCTTGTGGCGAAAAATAAGTCTCACGTCCTCACTTTAAATAAGTGGATGCATTGAAACCAATCCATATATATATATATATAGAGAGAGAGAGAAAGAAGAATATCGGTCTATATAATGTAGTGTATAACTAAATTTTCATAATAAACAATACTTTGTTTTAATTTTTATTTATATTATTGAATTTAAACTTTATGTAATGCTTAATATAATTAAATTGACTTCGCCTGGATGGATAAAGAGTACTAGCATTTTATTATTTTTATACCACATTAATTTTATCCAT